ATTAGTGAAAGATCATGTCTCATGGAAAGTGGTTGGTATAACTAGCCTTTGAATCAACTTTATGATTCTGTGCACATACTAGCTATTAAGATCAAAAGATTTTAGGGAGAATTGTGTTTTAAACCAATAATCAGAAGGAACATAGAACTGAAAAAGCATTTCCGATAATCTGCCCATCAATGCAGTTTTTTCTTCAGTTAGCCTGTATAATTAAAAAAGCCATGTACAAATATATGGTATTTTCAGCTGACAAAATGGATGTGGGCAACCTGATGCTTAAATCTTCAGTCCTGTAAAATCTTTAATACGAGTGTGCATACGTGAAATCCCACCGAGAAAATTAAGTTTGTATGAGAAGGGCACTTTGAAAACCATGCGTGAAGTTTTAATAAACACTTTTAGACTATATTGAAACAGGAATCTATCATCAAAGAATTGAAACAACCAATTGGAGGGCAGAACTGCAGGAGCTGTTAAACACCATGTAATGATACAACCCTAAACAACAAGAGGGAATATTCCTTGCAGTTGGAACCAAAAAGGGACAGCAGAGAAGCAGAATGGAAAAAACTAATTCCAATATGCTTTATCACTTTCCTCTAACATATATGCAACTTCATGAAGAATGCTCTTAAATACATTGCCCCATGCACATAAAATTAATTGGTCATGGCAATTCTGTTTACCATAGAAGATTTTTCCCATACATTTGTAATGCACATTAACAGGAATATTTTGGGGCAAATAAACATGGGCGATATAAAGAGTATAATGAGAGTAAAGAGTAAATGAATCAAGAGTCCAATGAGACTATAACTCTGCAAATGTATTAGCATGTCTTTGAAAAAGAGATTAGAAAAGGTGATATGGAATTCAACATACTATGTTAATACTGAAAAACAGGGGAATTTTGTTTAACCAGTAAAACAGGGGAAACCTGCGCTGAACAAAGCCTGTCAAAGGCAACTGCAGCAGAAAACAGTTATAGTGCTGACAGATCTGGGGTGAATTAATGAGGGAAAATTAGTAATATCGTACATGACAATATACCACCAGATCTTAGATCAACAGATATAATACTAATCCCTTTGCACATTCTTGCACATCTGTTTTTCTAAGCTTAGTGACCATAACAAAGACATATTGGTTCTTCCACACAATTTGTCTGTACTCTTGACAGCAGAGAAGGGGCTTTCCATTTTTGTCATGCAGAAGAACCTCCCTAAATGGATATTTTAAAAAACCAGTTCATTTTGTAAAGCTGCAGAAGAGCAACGATGGGTAGACAAGTTCAGGCACTTCATGGCTAAAGGATGGAACCAGAGCTGGTCCAGAAGGTGGAAAGCTGCCTTCTCACCACTTGGGCCATGGCACATCAAAGCCTTTACAATAATGTCTACCACCTGGATGGCATCATCAGCCTAAATCGCTTTCAGAAAAAAACAGCCATGAAGCCTCCAAAGCATTAGAAAGTCCCTGCTGTTAACACAGAGATGGGGAAAGTGCTGTCTGAAATTAGGCTGAGGACTGCAAGTTCTCCACCCAGCATGAAAGCAACACTGCTGCTTAGGAAGTGCCAAGCACTACCCTGAAAAACTGGTCAAGCACAAATAAGTCAACAGATACCTGCATCCACCTACTTCTCCCAATTGGCAGCTGACAGCATTGTGATGGATTTAAAATTGCTGGAAAGGCTCAAGAAAATTCCCTCAGTCTGGGCAGCCAGAGAACATTTGCCTCCTTGCTGTTCATCACTGTTCTCCCTTCTTTTGCCCTCCCCTGAAGCTCTTCTGCCCCACTTTACCTTCAATGATCCTCGCTGATGACTAAAGTGACTAAACGTTTAACACTAGAGCTGGTTCTTAGCTTCTTCATCCAGCAATGCCCCAGGTAGAACAATGACTGAAGAAGTTCCCTTCCAGAAGTGCAAGAACTGTGTCATTCTTTGGAAAAACTGAACGATAGTTTATGGAGAAACCAGGGGATATTGGGTCTATACCATAAAGGGACCCAGGATAAACTCTTATGTAAATCTATTCTAAATGTAATGCATAAATATTGATGCCATAAAATGGATCATGGTCAATTGTACAAGCCCAGCTTCTTAGGGTTGAAATTATTTTGAAATTCCTCCTTTCAAAATAATTTTGCTGCTTCTAATGTACATATTTTGAGAGCAAGTGTGGTGTCGTGGTTAGCAGAGTGGGACTGGGACTCAGGCAACCTGGGTTCTAGTCCCCGCTAGGCCATGGAGCCAACTGGATGACTTTGGGCCAGTCACAGACTCTCAGCCCAACCTACCTCATAGGGTTGTTGCTGTTGTAGGGGGAGAAAGATATAAGCCACTTTAAGTTCTTTAAAAGAAAAGGGGGAAAGGGGGGGATATAAATCTAAAAAAATAGATTGAGTCACTCTAGCTCCATGTACAATGAGCGCAGTTAAAAACTGCCTTTTCCACTCTTCACCTTTGTGTACAAAACAGGAATTCCATGGTTATTATGCCAGAATAATTCAGAATAAGACCTGCTATTCTCCTCATAAAGAAAAGATTTGTATGTTTCTTTTCCCCATTCTTGATTCACTGGGTCCTGTAAAAAAACTGTACTCAACACAGTATCCGAGATGGCTGCCATGCCACTGCTAGTCCTGTCGCATCCATGAGACCAACTGCTAGCACCGCAAAAACGAGGGTTTCTGAAAAGCAGCCCAAGACAGGCACAGGAAGACTTGCTTTCAGAATGAGTATATCAGGGCAGCTTCCTTCCAGGAACACTGCTGGCCTGCTCATTCCAGAAACAAGTGTTTCCACTCTTTCCGCCTGCCGTACAAAGTGCTAGCAATGAGTCCTGTTAGAATGCAGTCAAGCACTGACTGCTGCCCAGACGTTCCTTCTCTTAATGTTAGTTACCACTGCACACATTTGCCAAGATAAGCTTGTGGCCGGATCCAGAGCCAACCCAAGACTGCTGCTGTGAAGAGAAGCAAATTGTGTCCTCATTCTTCCAGCAGTACACAGAGTTCAAAGCCAGCCAAATAATTTGCTGGTGGAAAAGGGACCCCAAATCTGCTGCTTAAGGTGCCTCCTTCTGCCTAATGATGGACAAGCCCTGGAAGGAAGTCCCTGTTGGTTCAAAAGGATTTACTTTAGATTGACTACTACCATTAGATTGCAGTCTTAATGAGGTTCTTTTGGGGATCTAAAGCAGCGATTTTAAGGTGCTGCTATATTCCCTACTTACAAAGATTTATTGGCTAACTAACTGCAATTGCATCAGAATCTAGTGATTGCAGGATAAAACATGGGAAAGCCCCTTGCCTGGGAGCTCAAGGATTATTCCATCTACTGCAACAAGATATAATACATTGTACACAGAATTTTGTGGGTGAATGTGTATGCTGAAGGTAGAAAAGGCTATCCAGATGGGGGACCTGTCACTGTTCGGCATTGGGTGGCCTTGAGAATGACATGCTCTCTGTTAGACTAAGCATCTCGTTGAAAGAAAAAACAAAAAGGGCTACATAAATTAATAAGAGAACACAGCTACACAGAAGAAATGCAGTGCCTTTGATTTACCACTTAGCACTTCATTCAAGGAAGCAGCAACGTTCTCATTCAGTACTGGTGGCAGAGAATCAAGGCTCTGGAAGGGACTGGTCACCCATTGGGAAGAGAGAGGGAAGTAAAAAGACACCCCAGCATTGTTAATTTGCTTATATAAGAATGTTCCTGAGCTCTCCCTGCCAGCCTGCTCACAACTACAGAAACCGCAGTTCATGGATGGATTGTATAATAGCATACATTTGCTCGCGTGATGTGAATGATAAAGAAAACAAGGCAGCCAAAGGAACCTCCTTTTAAGAAAGGGAGGGATCTCCTTCTGGTAGAGAGGTGGAGCCACCAAATGCTTCTTCTCTCTTCTTGCCAGAGACACTTCAGAGACACAATCCAAGCTCCTCTTGCTGAGGAATCCTCTGACCACCTGGCCGCAAGCAACAGCCTCACAATAGATTGAACCCTGCGGCTCTGCTGCTCCAACCCCACCACAGACTAAGAGCTGGTGCGCCTTCCTATCTCATTTGCAAGCTGAAAAGCTGCAGCTCATGTTTCTACAAAGAGTTTTGCATCACTGTTTCAGCTTCAGCCCTACCAAGAACAGGAATAAAAAGGCAAGCTGTGGAACTTAAATCAGTTCCACAGCTTGCTTTTTTTTTTTTTGTTTGTTTAACTGTTAAACAAAACAAAACAAAAGAGAGAGAGGGGGGCAGGCATCAATTGTTTCTATCAAAGGGTAAAAGGCAGGATATTAGTGCAATGTTGTAACAATAAGAACAGAGCAGGAAAGGTCAGAACATAATAAGCCCATGTTTAAAGCAACACTCAAGGTGGCTTGCAAAATAACAACAAAACAATTCATCACAAAAATGCAATTATTTTAAAACAACATAATAAAAACACAAACCAAACATTACAAGATGACAAAAGCACAATCTGCCTGAAAATAGTATTTCACAAGAGGTGTAAAAGCAGTATGGAAAACAGAGAGAAGACCCCTTTCTCTCCTGTGCCAGCATTCTAATTCATTCTAATTCACTTAACTAAGGCGATGGGGAGGAGGAATTTTCAATACAGGGACTCCTACCCAGCTTTACTTCCTGGAACCAGCACCCTGACTGAAAATGAGTGCTTACAAGCATGGACAGAGAACTTCCCTTTTACCTCTGGGGTAACCTAACCAGTTCCAATATAGTGGCTTAACTGAAATAACATCTAGGTAGTTTTGTGGCTTTCGTTTTACAAATCAAGCTTTGCATGGCACACAGAAGGGGCAAATACATACATATTGACCGCTCTGCATATGTAAGTTGATAGGGCACATGCATGCGCACACACTTTTTTCTCGGATAGGTGTAACCCCCAATTCGTTTAAAATCAGCCACGTGACTTGAGACAGGATGCGCCGCACACCTCCCGCAGATGCAGAGTTTACCGAACTGCTTACCTCCTCCATTTTTTCCGGACTTGGACTTTCAGTACTAGGCAGCATTTCTTTAGCCTCAGAGAACTCTGGTTTGGCTGCCCTCGCCAGCTGGTCAGCAGGAGCCATGCCAACATCCGACGGTCCTCTCGCATTCTGACTTGCAGTAGCTGTTCCAAGAATCAGCTCATCCTCGTCAGAATCTGGCAGTGGTGTTGGGCTAATGTCTTCTAAGCCAGTGCTGGAAGGACGGGAGGAAGGGGTCTGTGCTCTGTAGCTGGGCTGAGAGTTGGAGCCAAAGGCTGGGATTGGAGAAAGCTGGGAGGAGGAGGAGGAAATGGGACTGCCTTCCATTCGAATCTCATTGTCCGAGTCATGCTCATTGAGGAAGTATAGCTTTGTTCTCTGCTCTTTTAAGAGCATCTCAATCCGAGAGTCCAGACTGTTATGCTGGACTTCAGATTCTACGACTGGGGTGCCTGGAGTCTCACTCCTTTCTGGCGTCTGTGAGAAGGGTACTGGGGGTTGCTCGTTAAGACTGCTAGGTTCTGGCAAGGGCGGAGGTGGGGGTTCTTCAGGCTTTTCCTTCACAGGAAGAAAATCAACACTGGTAGCAGTGCTACTCTCAGCTACCATCTCCGTGGGAGGTGGTGGGGGACGTCGATACTCAACCTCTCTAGACCCTGGAGGAAGTGGCGGTTCTTCAGGCTGGGAGTATGTTGTTGGTGGTGCCTGGTATGGGGAGAATGCCGATTTGTAACTTGAAGAACCAGAGTGACTCAAGGGAGAACTGTGGGAATATTGCACAGTCTCTTGCTGATGGGGTTTGAATGCACTGAACTGATGCTCTGATCCTCGAAAGACACCTGCTGAGTTATGAACATAGTGATGGCCCGGTCGTCGATTGTAGGCATCTGTAAATTTTGTTTCATGCCTCCTGGGTTTATATCCAGAGTCCTGTCCAAAATGGTATGCTGGTGTTGTTTGACGACTAGAGTAAGCAGAATCTTGCGAAAAGGGAGTCCCTAGGCGTGGGGTGAGAGGAGTTCCTTGGGACTGGGGGGTAAGTTGGCTATAAGAGTTTGGGGTGTCTTGCCGACAACTGGAAAAGGCTGTATCATGGGAAAATGGGGTACTACTGTTTGGGGTAGCTGATGATCCCACAGAAGAAAGGCTATTGTCTTTTAGACGTTTCAGAGTATCAGCCAACTATAAAAAAGAGAAAAGGAAAACAGGAAAATATGCATATAGTTCTTGAGAAGCATTGACACAAATGCCAGATTACAGACCTCTGGTGTGGATATGCAGTCTTTCTCAACAAAGATATTTCCTATACAATGAAGTATGTATAATGGGATTAGGAATATCTGTGTGACAATGGGAAACACATGCATAGCTATCTGGTTTATTCCCAAAGTTAAGTGAGTCTTAAACTGACAATACTGCTCAATGGAGACATGCTAAATGTCAGTCTTAGACTATGTAACTGGCTCATTTTAATTGCTCTCTTTTACTATCATCTTAAATGTTGCATTCCACTTTGGAGGGCTCTTTTGAAGGACAGAAGTTAGCATATAAATGGTTTTATAAATGGGATGGGAAAACTTTCCGATTTTGTAAAATGGTTCCACATCTACCACAGGACTAGCAATATTAATATCTGATTTTTTTCTCTCGGCTCCAGCATGCCTGGCCAATGATCAGATACACCAAAATATCTGAAGGACAACAGGTTGGGAATGGCTGTTCTACACTATCTATTGTTTGCCTGACCTTCTTAGCATTCATTAAATTTGCATACAGAAAACCAAAAGGACAAACAAGCTTCTGGAAAAGTACTGCTGAAGCAAAACCTAAGATATCAACTTCACAAACTAAGGTCAGTAGTTAATCAGAATTAATAAACCAAATCCAAGTCAGCCCACTGTACTACTTCAGTGCCTCCACCTGCACATGGCTTGTGTTGTGGGCCTGAACACTATTAGTCTTAGGCGAATGGGTAACTGCCAAGTATAATTTAAGGTGTCAACTGACATGCGTACCACAGACACACCGTTTCTTAGTTCCTGCAACCAGATCCCAGTAGTGGGCCCCAGTACCAGCCCTCTTTCAGCTGGTAGAATTGTACACAGGACAAAAAGGTTCCTGAAATCACCCTTTCTTCTAAGCTACTAGTCTTCTTAAAACTCTAATGTAGGAGGAGTGGGGGGATTAAATGTACTACCTATAAAAGAGACTGTGTTTGAATAATAAAATGAAAACAAATTCTTTGAACACAGACACACTAGGATGGCTGGAATGATTCCAACAATGGATTTTTAGGAACCACAGGCAAAGCCAGCTGAATTGGTTTCAATTAAAATTTACTCTGAAAGTCCTCTTTAGCAGCCTTTCCAAACAAACTAGTTCAACCCTGAAGAGAAAAGTAAAATTAAAGGCTTTAAAACACTGCTGATGGTGAGCTTCATGCAGATTTGACCAGGTAGCACCCGCTTTAAAAAAACACTTCTATCCTAACTTTCCATGGAACAGCAAAAGGAACTGATCTTGAAATTAATACAGCAAAAACATAGTCAAACCCATAGTCAATAAAACCAAATACTGAAAAGTATTAAGTAACTGAGGAATTCAGTGGAAAACTAAATATATTTCCCACCATGAATCACTGTAGAAGAAAGTATGAGGCTAATGGGTGGCTTTTACAAAATAAATAAATAAATAAATAAAAGTAATGGCCACAGTCATTTAAGGATGGATTGCTTGCTTGCTTGCTTGCTTGGAAACACACCTTGCCATATAAATATGCTCAGTGTTGGGGTTTTGGTTCAGACAGAATCTAAATATAAATGAGAAGAGTAGAACTAATGCAAGGGAACCTTGCATGATTACATTTCGGTTGCCCAGAATACGAACCAGGACAAAGCACCACAAGGTTGGTGCTGGAGGCCGGCATTGCTGAGCAGCTCCTGTGGCCCACAGCCCAGCAGAAGGATCACTGCTGACTGCCTGCCAGCCACCCCCACCGCCATATTGGAATTGATAATCAGAAGATACTGTGACCCGGAGCTAAGTCTCAACTGTTCCCAGGGTCCTGCACAGGCCTTAAGTGTAGCCCTGAGACTTGTTAGATTTAATTGCTGTGAGACATCTGCAGGGCTTCAGTGAAGTGATGAACCAGCAGCAACCAGGCACTGTGAATTCCTCACCTCAGCCTGGAAATAAGGATATTTTCACACCTTTTTCCTGAAGTTGGTGGGACAACCAGGCCTTCTCTCGCCCTCCCTTCCCTTGTCTCCCAGGAAGAGAAGCTAGCTTATCTATTGCAACAGCCTCTGAAACACAGGAAGAAAGGACCTGTACAAAATCCAAGGAAAGAGGCATTGCTCTTTGACTTTCCACTTGGAACAAGGATCATGCACCATGTCCAAGTAACTTGTACCCCAGGAACAAAATTGATCACAGCAGGAAACTCTGCGATAGAACAACGTACCATAAAATCACTCTTTTCTTTCACTAATTTATTTTTAATCTCTTTCCATATTTCACCATTATATTAATTCAATGAACTTCATATTATCATCAATACAGGTGGTTGTGTTGATACAGGTGGTTTTGTTTTTTCCTATAATTCCTCTAATTGGAAGTTAGATGCCTTGGCTGGACCAGGCCCTTGAGATTTAAACATCCCAAGTCCTGTCACAGCCTGTTCACCTTCTCACCCCCAAGTATGTGAGTGCAGTGGCAAGGAGGAGAGGCAGCAGCAGCCATTCCTCCTCTGGGCAGTTTAGGCTTGAAAAAATAAGAAAGGCACTGGGCAGCAGCACAACAGCAGGGAAGTGGGTCCATGCAGGGGGGTCTTGCTCAAGCCAGCTCCAGATCGACAGCAACCCCTTGGCTGCAGAAATTATATTTGTCATGTTTTCAAAAAAGAAGAACAGTGAAACCTGCCCACGTTCCCTTTATGTGGATTCCAGCAAGATGCTGAATCCATACTGCTAACATGGAAAAAGAATAGAAATTATTCAACAGAAGGCCTCAGACCCTGCAGAATTAGACCCGTGGAATCACAACAGCAGCTTTCTTATTCAAACTTCCAAAGACATGCAGGAAAAATGAATGTGTCAAAGAAATTAAAGGTCTAAAACAAGCTTGCTTTCTTTACCCTACCTTGGCCTGATAAAGAGCAAGGCCATGGGATTTCAGTATTCAGAGAAAAGAGAAAATGAAAGGAAATGTTCCTAAAGGCACTTATAGTTCTAGGCAAAGTATAACTTGGAAGCAAAAATAATTCAAAACAAATAGATTCCTCAGTGTACAAACAAAGGACATGTTAGGGTTAGGGTAAAGGCTGAAATGCTACACCTACTTCCTAGTAAGTAGAGCTCATTAACTTCAGTTGAACTGGGCTAAACACACTTGGCCACACTGAACAGGGTCCTCCAGGCCTGCCAGAAGTTGTATACAAGCCTTAATTCACAGCCTCAGTGATTAAACGCTGCCTCTTCTGTACCTCTTCCACTCATTCCAATTCAGGGACTTATTTGGGGGGAACATCAAACAAACTGCTCAGCAACAGCATTTGATGCAGTCTGTCCTTGCGTGCATTCCTTGCCAAAACCCCCCCTGAATTTGCAGTGTTAACTATTACTAAAATATGGCTGAGAAATCTCTCCTTGCCACTTGATCTTAGGGACCAAAAGGTAGAGGAGGAGGCAGCTAACCTCATTTATGAAATTTTTATCACACATAGGCAGCATATGCAATCATCCTGCGCCTCCACTACATTTTTCCTCTCAATAACCCTATGTTGCGTGTTGGGCTAAGAGACAGTAAGTAACAGGACCAAGGACACTGGCAGGTTTCAGGACGGGAACAGCGACCAATGGCTCCTTGTCCTGATGGCGCTATGCTGCATCCAGCATCAGAGGCTGCGTGCCTGGGGGAAGCGGTTACCGGGGGAGCACAAGTCAGAAGATGCTACGGCACTCGGGCTGCTTGGTCACTCTGTGAACAGAAGCCTGACTAGGTGGGCCCTTGCTCTGATCCAGCAGAGCTCCTCTCATGCTCTCATGGGTGAGAATCTGAACCCAGCTCCACTTGGTCCTCGTGCAAAGCTCTAAAAACAACACACGATTTGCAGCACAATCCTATGTACGCTCACTCAGTCCCACTGAATTCACTGGGATGTTTTCTAGGCAAAAGCGTACAGGGTGGCATCTTTTGAGATGATGTATCATCTACCGCTTCATTGAAATATTAATTTCAATAAAAGTGCAATTACCAAAAGCTCAATATGGATGCCTTTTTGAAATATTAAAGGAAGAGTAAATGTGACATTTACAATTTGATAATTAAAACTAAAATTTCTTGCCAGAAGGAAAAGCCATATAATATTTCTATTTTTCATTCCCTGGCCAGAGTCAACTCAATAAGGTACTGGTATTAAGTCTAGATGTCCCAGAGCTTCACTGTGATTCTAGAAACATACCCCAGAAGGGAAGCTGAAGATGACAGCTGTCTGGACAAGAATGTCAATAATTTGTCTGAGACACAGACAAATCATCCATTGTTCTAAACAAAGCTCCTCTTGAAATTATTCTCTATGCTATTACAACATAACCAAGCCAAAGATATACCTGCAGAGTTTCATTTGCAGTGGGCGATGCATCTGGCTCATTCTCTACAGGGAGGGTCTGAGGAGTGTAGAGTCCATTCACAAGAAGCTCATAGAAATGCAAGCGCTTTTCACCTGGACAAATAACAGCAACTTTATTAAAGAAGGAACACACTAACCCATAGACAAGGCAACCTGGCACCGTCCCATTGTTTTGGACCACGACTCCCATCACATCTGACATTCAGCCGTTCTGGCTGGGGCTGATGGAAGTTGTAACCAAAAACACCTGGAGCGCACCAGGTTCCCTACCCTTGCCACATACAGTATGAAACTATAGATCTCTACCAGAAACCCTCATGTTAACAATTGCTAAATTAATAGTAACTATAGAATTTTTAAAAATAATTGTTGGAATTAAAGTATTTATAACACAGGCATGTCAGTCTTCAAATGTATCAGTACCTGTGGGCCAACATGAGAAATCTTTAAAACTGGACAATGTTCTCCAAAAAGAAATGGTGCTGCACGGGACCTGACTTGCCAGCGGCAGGGACTGGGCCGCACATGGTATCATCATGCATAAGTATAACCCTCTGTTCATAACAATGAGACCATAGAGTCATTAACTGGCAATAGAGTCATGCCTTGATGCAAGTCGATAGGGTAATCCTCCTTTGAATGCTGTATACAATTCTGTATTTCAGAAAGGATGGTGTGGAGCCAGAAAAAGTTCAGGAACTAGCAACCAAGACAGTTAGAAGGATGAGAAAGGTTACATGGCTTGGGTTTTTTTTAGCCTTGGGGGAGGTGGGGGAATGAGGAGGCAGGAGAAAAGTATATAACATTATGCATGGTGTAGAGTGAGGGGTTGTTTCTTCTTCCATAACACTGCTATTATATATATGTCTCCTCCTCCCCCCAATCCTATCTTCACAACCACCCTGTGATGTAGGTTGCACTCAGGGTCTGTTACTGGTCTAAGCTCAGTCAGTGAAACTTAGTATGTAACATAAAACGAAGTACTTCTTCACATGGCACATTTAAAACTACAGAATTCACCACCACAAGCTGCGGTCGTGGCCACCAGCATGGGCAGCTGCAAGCGGGGTGAGATAAAGTAACGAAAGACAAACGGAGCAACGGCACTCAGTCATGGCAGCACTGTGCTTTCTTCAGGATCAGAGGCAAGTCCAGTTGCTGGGGAACGGCAGTGCAAGGGTGCCACTGCTCTCATGCCCCGGTTGCAGGTTCCCAGAGAGCAGGCTAGCCATCGCAGGAAAGGCAACACTGGATCAGATGGGCCTTGACTCTGGTCTAGCAGGGCGCTTATGTTCTGATGTTTGCACTGTTGCATTCTTGTAACTACAAAGCGGGAAGATCAGCCCACGGGATACGGGTACAGGTGGGCAGTACTGCAAACTAGTTCTGAAATGGCACCCTGTGGTTTCCAGTCTAAAAAGTGCATACTTCTAAGCAAATAAAATAAAAAATGAAAATATGCATGTATTATGCGAAAGCGCTTCACGTATGTTGCTTGGTGGCCTTCTGAGAGCCCTGTAAGACAGACCAGAACTATTACTGCCATATCAAAGATTAAGGGACTGAGATTTTGAGTGAGCTGCTTTGCCTGAAGTCATCCATTGAGGTCATGGTTAAACTGGAGATTTTCTGGTTCATAAATGGTCTCTCAGCCCAATGCTTTACTAGCAGCTCGTGACTAGTTACATTCAGCTAAAACACAGGATGAAATCATTTTGTTGGACAGGTAACTATCCCAATTCCAAAAGCTGAAGTACAACAGATCAGTGTGTGGTCCTTATCTCACTAGCAGCAGCGCTCTTACTACAGACCAAGTCTGGATTTCACCTTAAATGACTCACTTAAAGTTACAGAGCTTCATTTAGGGCCTGTGAACAGAGTCCATGTTCTTTGGACTCCTAATAGTGATTTGGTGGCCTTGGAATGCTAGAACAGACATTTAAATGCCTTGCATTCCCTTTAACTTCACTCTGGTATGATCTAGAATATAATTACATGGTTTATTCCCAAAAAATATTTTAAATTGTAGGTAAGTTGGCCATACTGGGAAAATAGCTGGTTTTTAAAACTGCTGCTCATTCGTACCTTTATTTTTTATTTTCACTATAATACACAGGATCTGGATATCATATTAGTTAAGTCACAAATGCAGTTTATCTCTGAAGGCAAGAAGCAAGCATTCACAAGTATTTTAAAGGCTACCATTAGAAACCTACAAGAACCTTGCTTATCAACATTACCAGCAAAAATACATTTAAAAATAAAAGCAGATTAATACAATAATAATCTAAACCACAAATTTAAAAGCTGGGAGCTGTAATCCAGCTTACTTTGGTGATAACAGAATGACTTAAACCTATTGCATGTAATACACTTACTTACAAGTTAGTTCTACTAAACTCCATGAAACTTCAAACAAATAAACAGAAGATTGGGCTGCATATTCCAACTGGACTGAAACATGAATATTTCCCAGAGTGAGGAGCTCAAATCACACGTTGTAGTTTAATTCTTTGATTATATGTCTGGTGGAGGGTCACAGCTTGTGTCTGATACAGTATTCAACATAAATGTTGAGAAAGCACCGATTAATAAATCCATTTAGCCAAGATGTGGGGAATGAGACATGGACTCCAACTCCCATCATCCTCAACAATAGCCCAAGGTGATGAACCCTGGAGTCCAAAAACATCTCAAAAGTTTTTCAATTGGATCTAACTCCTGCTCTTTATCATTTTATTAAGTTCCTTCTCTAAAAGGTATTCATAAATCCTCCTATGACAATATGAGGATAAATACTGAACTTCAGCTGGGAATCAGTGTACCAAAAAGCAACTCCAACCTGCTTGGGTCAAGAATATGGAGTTCAAGATGTATACAGCTTCAAAATTCTACCATAAAGATTTACATAACAAAAGTGGGGGAAAGCAGAAACTTTTCCATTATAAAAAAAAATGCATGGGTTAGCTTTTACAGCAAAATGTGTAGAAAGAACATATGGTTAACATTTCCAGTACTTTTTACACTTAAGCTGGAAAGAAAAATGGTCTCACAACAGAGGTGAGACACAAATTAGCATACATATGTTAAAGTAACAAGCGATCCGGAACTATTGTATACATTTCTGGCAAAAGTAAACTAAGGCAAAGATGAAAAAAGTACAGTGCTGAAGCATTCAGTATGCTCCAGAAATTACTGCATTCCCAGCTGCACGATCCATTACATTGCTTCTGCCTGATAACGTCAGCATTATAGACCAGTTGCTCTCAAGAACAAGTGCTACTATTCCTTTAAGAGACAAGGACTCGTGCAGTCTCCTGTGCATACACAGATTCCAGCAACAAGGTAACTGCATGGAAACAAGAACATGGCTATCATCCAAATTTTACATAGCATGGCTTTAAGATTTTTTTCAGCCATTTTCTGCAATGAATTTCTAAGCTTCATCAAAGCGGTTTTTAAAAGTTCTCTGCTAAGTGCAAACAGTACTTTTGGCAAAGGGGTGAAAGGGGACCATTTGGCAAACGAAGTGTCAGCGTGAGTGAGTGAGTGAAATGGAGAGGATGGCAGCATTTGGTAAATTACAGGACTGTCTCCTAGCAACAGACAACACATTCAGTTCCACGTGACTACCAAAGGCCCAGAGAAAAGCAGAGATAGAGGGGGAAATGGAGTGACAACCAGTTAATAGTTCCCCCCTTAAATTAATTACAAGTCTTCCCCGTCCAAGCTGCAAATGCAGCTCGCTGCTGGATGTAGGAAAGAGTGGGGTTAAGGCAGAGAAGCAGTGGAGGTAAAGAGGATGCTCAGAGTCAGTTCCCACCTTTAGTATCGAGCTCCACGTGGATGATGTTGCCCATGACGGATGTGTTGTGCAAGTGCTGAACAGCTTCCCGGGCTCCTTTGACTGTAGCAAAGATCACTTTGGCAATTCCCAGGTGCTTCTTGTTCTTGGGGTTGTAGAGGATCTCCACTTCTTCTACTTCTCCGTATTTTTTGCACATGTCTGTCAGGAAGTTCTCACGGATGTTGTCGTTCAGCTTGGCAAAAGTGACTTGCTTCGGAGGCACTGGCCCCACATAAAATTCATCAATCTGAAGGTTTATTTTTGTACCAGCATATTAAAGGCGGGAGAAAACAACAGAAAGAACTGTCAGTAACCATATCACTACGACCAGAGAGAATTAAGGAGGACCTACTGAACTTTAGACACACAGTTCTTCCTTAATATTGCAGCATATGGGGAAATAACGAATTATTACAACAACAATAGCTTCTTTACAAAATTATTTTATAATCTAAAGACTCAAGAATGCATGACTTATTAAGCATACGCTTGTCAAAAACAAGCTCAATTCCACTGGGCTATCTTTATATTACTACTGATCTATCCAACTAATAATATCAGTTTAAAAAGTGGTTCGGAATGTACTTAAACCCGTATTATTACCACAGTTCGCAATGCATGTACCTTAAATTTAGGAACAGAGAGTTCCAGCTCTTTCGTTTTGGTCCATATTCGTCCTATCCTGGGATCTCTCACACAGTCCACTGGGGCAAGACCCGGGTTCTAAGAAGAAAGAGGTGGGGAGGAAAAATGCTCTGAAGTACAAAAATACAGATTTTTAAAAAAATCAAAACATGTTTACTGTATACCATTTTAAAATCAAATAAAGGGAATGTTCTCCAAGGAGAAAAGGAAAAAAGCAGGCAGACACGCACACACAGGCACACGCGCGCACACACGTCAAAAAGCCATTCTGCAAGGAATCCATGAAATAAAGCTGCAGGTTTAACCTTCCAGTTCCGACAGACTACATCATGCCAGGGAGGTGTGTAACTTTAATATCAGTCCTTAATTTTCTAGCAAGCATCACTGTTCACCATTAAGAAATCTGCCCCCCCCTCCCCGAAGGATGGCTGGGTAGTCGAATAAAATCAGCCAGGTTTGGGAGGCAATGGGAATGGGGGGAGAGACAAATTGAAAGAAGGCTCTAATCCTGCATTTTATTTTCAGCACAGCAAATGCTTACAGGAATGCTAAAATGTTGTCCATCATAACGATAGAGTTTGTGCTGTCCTTTTTTCAGAGCTGGGTCAATAATCAACTTGTAACTTTTCCAGTGGTGATTTTTTTTCTCAACAGAGGTGCTAGCTTGGGAGCTGCTCTCCATTCCGTTGATCCAACCTAGAGAAGGGGGGCAAGCAACAAAGTTAAAAAGAGAGCGATCACAATTGCAGAGCCGCCCCCCCCCATTCCGTCAAGCTGGGGAAGGAAGAAAAGATTATATATACATTCAGACGCTAACACGGGCTGTCCCCCCACCCGTACAGTGTGAGCCCAGCGACAGAAAGAAAGAGGAGGAAAAAAGAGAGAAAGAATCTCACTTGAACTCTGCTTTTTCCCATGGTCTTCGGTGTGCTTGGTTTTTTCTCCTCCTGCCTTGATCTCTTTGAAAGACATTGTTATTCGGTGGCCGATCGTATGGTTGCCGCGAAAGGCGAGCTCCTCTCCCTCACATTGGGCTGGTTACATTACATGGGGTTTGAAAGCCTCCTGCCTCTTCTCTCCGATTTTTTTTTGCGAGCCAACACATATTGTGTGTGTGCTTTCTGCTTGCTTTTTAGGCATCCCACAATTCACCGCTATGGAGCCTCGGCTAATGGCTAACCGCCCTCAACCGAATGCACATTCACGGCAGCTGCAACGCGCTGTAAAGCCCCCAGCCCGGCGGCCCTGTAGCGCCTCCCCACCCCAAATAAAGGGCCATGCATTTTCCCCAGCCGACGGACGCCCCACCGCGGCTCTGCCTGCGATTTAGCGCCGCGGCCAAATCCCCTTGGAATCTGCCGACTACATTTACTCAAGCGCCAAACTGTTCCTAAACAAGATGGGCATAGGTGGGACAAGGGTGGTTTTTTGGGGGGGGAGGGAAAAAAAACCTCGAATGAGGAGGAGAGAGGCAGACTCCCCAAACGTTTGAGCCTTGGAAGTTACATCCCAGAGAACCAACCGGGGCAAGGAGGTCTTGGCACTGATGCTACGTTGCAAGGATGCGAGAAGAACGTTTCCACCTCCGATGAATGGCTCGATATGGGGAGGAGGAGTGGGGGGGGGAGCCCCCGTTTTGTTACAATTTGTCAATTTCACGATTTGGGAGGAGGGAAGGCGAGAAAGAGAGAGAGAGAGAGAAAGAGGAAGGAAAGTAGCAGTTTTGCTTATTAAAGGTCCCGAGCAACCAATCAGCTCGGACCTTCCATTTTGTTTCGGCAAAAGAAAGTCCGGCTCGCTTCCCTCCCTTTTTTTTAGCCTCTTCCCCCCCCCCCCGGGGTCGCCTTGTTGGGGTTTCGTGTTGTTTTACCTCGTCTTGTGCTTTTGGTTTGTAATTTGGCCGTGGTTAGGTAATTGGCTGGTTAAAGGCACCAGGCCGGCGCAGCCAATCAGCGCGCAGCTTCCATTGGGCTTGAGTTATTAGACGCTGATCTAAAAACATCCTTCAGCAGACAGCTAAGGAGAGGCCAACAGATCAGGCAGCCATTTTTCTGCAATGGAATTAAATGGCCAACTGGGTTTTCCTTTGTTCCAAAAGGGGAATACTTGATTTGAATGCATCCACACCATCCATTTCAGGACTGCTCAGTGTTTGTATTAATGTCTTGACAACATTTAGAGGACTCAAAAGGAAGAAGGAAGATTTTATAAAAAGATCTGGATTTTTCCCTTTGATTTGGAACCCATCTTTGTCTTGTATATAACTAGGTCATGGCACGCCCTTATGTCAGCAGTAACAATTTTGAGTTACCAAAAAAAGTATATACATGTGTTATTTTTGGTGTGTTTGTTTTTGAAAGCTTTTATCTGCCTGAGCAATACATTTTTAGCTTTAGTTTCCTGTATTAAACACTAAATACCTGGCCATCTTTTAAGTTAAATCCTTTCGTGCTAACAAGGTAATGTTTTAAATATAGACGTAGGAAACGTGAATTATTGCAAAAATTCATTAGGATAAGTTTTTTCCTTTTACATTGTAAGTACCCAGTCCATTCTGTCCTTCTTAATAAGTGTAGTTTTCATGTTAATGTTACTGGAGTTCTCCTTATTTTTGCTTATTTTTTTTCCGGACTTCATCTGCATGTCATTTTTGTCTTGTTTATCTAAACCAATTGCTTCTGAAGTACTTTTAAAACCAAAAATATTTAGCTGGAGATGCTTAAAATGTTTACATATAGTAACTATTAACCAGGTATAGTCACACTAACATGTACAGATTTAAGTGTGTTTGAGATCATGTTTTTAAAAATAGGGTGGGGAGGGGGGAGGAAATACACGCACTGTCCTTTTTATGTGTAGAACAAATCTGACACAAGAATTTACCGATTCAAGCATGGAGTTAAAAAAAGAGAACGACCTGGATACTGGTAGTCAAAATAAGTGGATGTCTTCTAACAACCTTTTTTTTTTGTCAAAGCCATAGAAATACCTGAATGAGAGTTGTAAACTTAACGGCAGAGAAATGATGATACAGAACATAACGCATATTTAGAAGTAGCTTTTTAAAAAACCTGTAGCCCTCCCCCCCAACTTCACCTTCAGAACCGCATTCAACTTTGGTGTACGGGTAAGTAAACCCTTTTGCCCTTGCAGTGAAACAGAGCAGGGGCCTGTGCAACAAATGTTTTGTCCAGGGCGGATATCCGAGTTACTTTCTGGGTGGGGGGAGGTAGCTAACGTTCTTGTGGAAAGTACATATTCAGAGTATACTTCCTATCTCTCGGTCCAAAGGATACTTCAGTTCTCTTCTCCGCCTGTAACAAAGTGCTTTGCTTGGGTGCATTTTTGTTGATTTGAAGCGTTTCTCTCTGCGACTCCATAATGGCGTTACGTGTCTGTTAACTCCAAGTCAAGCTGCGGACGGGTGGGCGAGAGACTCTGTGGTGGAAGTCAAATAACTGCGAAAAATCTGTCAGTTTGACTCCCTCTGGTTACTAGAGGGTGGGGTTTTTGTGCAACGGGAGAGAATGGTAGCAATTTGGAAGGAAAAAGATGGGCTCTGTTCTGGTAAAATGTGCCCTTGCACGGCTTTTTTCATCCTGAGAGACGCCCCGTTAGGAAGGGAGCATTCAGAAAGCAAGATCCAAAATGGAGATTTCATTTCTCCACCAAAGAGGCGCTTTGCAGTCTTGAGTCGTGCTGTTGGGAAAGCTCGTGACGCGTGTGTTAGTTCACAGCAGCAGGTCTACGCCTTTTCAGGTAGTTACACTTAAAAATAGCTTCCAGCTGATAGAGGCTTTCCTTGGAGAGGAAGAAACCGTCCCTTGTACCCTGTTTACCCGCGCTCTGGCGCCCTGAGCTGGGATGCTTCGCAATATTTTTGTGCAGGACTCGCCGGGCTGACTCCATATTGTGTGCGAGCAGTCGGGCTTCGTAATGGCGGCGGTCCTTTCTGTGTGCGGCTGTTGTTTCTGGGGCAGCCCCAGCGCTGGATCTCTCCAAGGCTCGGGGCGCGCGCTCTGTTTTCGATCAGTGCAGCAAAGACTCCCTCCCCGCCTCCCCCCCCCCCCGGCTCGGGTGTTGTGTGGAAAGTACAGCGGGAGTGAGGGGGGGGGCTGCTTTCTTCTGTTTAATAGACATGGTTGCTGCGGGGAAAGATGGTTGCCATTTCGTGCAAGTACTTTTGCAGCCACGACAAGAAACGTTGGAGCGAGCGAGGCAGGAGTGTAAGAGGAGCTCCTGGCAGCACTCCAACTTCTGCCTGCTGCTCGGCTCGGCTCGGCTCGGCACTCCCGGGGGTGGGGGAGGGGGGAGGGGAGGGGGAGGCCGGGGGGAGCGGAGCGGACCTCGCTCTTAAAGGGACAGGGCGCCGCTGCCGTAGTTCAGGGGAGACAAAGGCGCGGGACGGATGGCGGGCGGTCCCGGGCTTTGTGTCTGGAAACCAGAGGAGAGCCGTGCGCGGAGAGCGGAGGACGGCGCGGCGGCGGCGCCCGCCTCGTGCTGCACGAGTCAGTGGCAGCGCGGCTCGGAGCTGCAAAGACGTCGCCGAGTGCGCCGCCGCCTGCGGCACTGCGGCCCCGCTCTTCGCAGGCATGGCGCGGCCCGGCCCGGCCCCGGTGCCCGGAGAGCCCGTCCCGGGGGCGATCCCTGGGCAGGTCGCGCTCGCTCGCTCCCCCCCGGCCACGTGTCTCAAAGCAGGTCTCCCGGCACCACTGGTCTCTCTTCCCCCCGTGACCCTTAGAAGGGGTGAGCTCAGCGCTGGGGATGGAGCAGGAGCAGGAGGAGGAGCTGACACGGGAGTACGTGGCCTGTTGTCAGGCGAGAGGGCTCTCCGATGGCATCCCTCTGCCTGCCCGCCTGCACCAGGCGCGTTTCCGTTCAAACAGCTTCTCTTTGTCTGAAGGAGTGCTTTCCTGAGCGGCGCAGGCTCCCCCACAGAGGCTGCCTCAGACCTCCGCCGCAGCTCTGGGATCTATTGTTTGTTGGAAGATTTGCGCTGACAATCCCGGCAGTAGATCCTGAGGCCATTAAGGTGGTTGTGGTTTTGTCCCGGCATTGTTAACCATCCTGAGGGTAGAAACCGGTACCTTTCTGACATCTTCAGGAGAGAAAAAAAGTTGGAAGTACCTCTGGCCTTGTTTCCATTTCAGGGATGCTTAAGTGCACGGTTTTTGAGCAGGTGATTTACAAAACCTGTGCAGAAATTAATACTAGAAATTAGTTCTGCTTTTTTGTTAGTCAAGTAATACTCCTCATCTTTTTTTGTTCCATTTCAAGGGTGGAAGGTTTCGACTTATGCATGGAAACAATTACAGCAAGGTGAAATCCCTGTGTATGATCTCCCTTTCCTTCATTGTAGCTATATGGTGACGAAAATATGTGGCTTATACATGCCTCCAGTTGCTGGCTGTGAAATATTCAGCAGGCTGTCATAGATATTGTCTCTTGGATCTCTGTGGGGAGTGGAGACATTCCATTCTGTTCCACTACGGTGTACAATGATTTCCTCAAGTGGTAAAACCTGTTTTTAAGCAGCAACCCAAAGAAGCAAACTGCCTGTTAAACAATGAACAGTCATGCTTCCAGCCTTCGCTTGGTGCTCTTTCCCCCTGCGATTGCATTGCGTAAGCCGAGAGGTTTGCCAATTAGAGGTATAGCCGGAATAAAGTCCTTTGCAGGCAGTAAATCTTGTTATGCTGATGATACTCCAGAGTAAACTTGTTTAGCATTACATTGCATACTTTGACCTTTAAGATGATGGGAGAAGAGGTTTGTCCTTGAAGTTGATTTTTCTCTTTTTGTTAAGGAGTCAGAATCTTGATTGTGAGTTCCATGGTCCCAAAGAACTTGTAGAATGAAGGCTGGGTGAATGTGTATATCTTCTCCTAAGCATCGTCCATTAAACACCCTGGCTACTTGCCTTTTCTTCCCATAGGCAACCTGCTTGTGAATGTTGTATGTGGAACTTTTCATTGTGATGTGGCAACAGCGAGTGAGGTTGGTCTGCCAATTTGTTGATTAGTAGGGCACCTATCCCTGAGATTCCTGCTGCTGTAATTGTGTGCTACAAACAAAGTGGTTGGCTTAGGGTTCTTAGATTCCTTTCACATGAGTGTTAAAGGAGGCATGAGCATTTACCAGAAGCACGAGCTTGTTCCTGACACCCCAGATCATGGGAACGTCCTGCTTACCTTTTTCCTCCTTCCCTCCCCATTCCAGCCGATTATAATGTAGGTCAGTATGCATCGCTGGCTTGCTTGCCGTCAAGGGAGTTTCCCTTCACTTGCAGGAGTTGCATCCTTGTCAGCTGACAGTGTGCGCTTGACCTTT